GGATCTTTAAACATATGGGCTATGTCTAGACCTCCCTCTATTGCACAAGAGAATATGCAAATGAGGCAAAGTGGTGAATATCGCTGCACCTCATTTGCATACTTAATGATCCGCCATTTTTGTGCAAGGGGCTTTTGTGTAAGAGCCATTCTGCCACTTTTTTTAGGCAGAGTTTGCCTTTCTTTACTTATGACTATTTGATAAACTAGTTTTAAGGTAATTCTCCACCAAAATCAGTAACAAGTCACAAAATCCTTTGTTATGCCTAAAATCATTGGAAACATATTTTTAACAAACACATGGTGAAATTTCATAAACATGTCTCTTGTTATGGAGTTCATACACAATAAATTAGTATTCCCTTTTTCTAAAAGCTGTGAACTTTGTCATAAACACACTGAACGGCTCCGACTGATTGATTTAAAATGTCTTTGTTTCAGCGTGTTAAACATGTAGCACTCTGGAATGGTAACTTTATAAAGGTTTAAGAACGCTTGAGAACATTTAAAAAATAAAATCAGCTTAGAAATACTGATTAAGAAAATATAAAACTGAAGAGCTGCGTCATGTATTGCTAATATTTAATGCTGTGTTCTGCAGGGCAACTAACTCTCCCTGATTACAAAGTTTTTGCAAATAAATCTCTGACAAACTTCAAGCTATATCAAAAAACCCGTGACCGACATTTTTATTCCCAAATTTAGGGCATTTCATTAGGTATCTTCTTCATGTTCAGTCTTCACAATCTGGCATGCATTGGAAAACATGATCCATTTTCTTTAGAAAGAAATTTTAGAAGAGTGTTTTTTAGAATATTTACTACACTTAGGGTCACAGATTTGGCTGGAAGTGGTGAGCAGAGAGTGGGAGGGGAGGGAAGGAAAGAGGGAGACAGTGGAGGGGCCTGGGCTGAGTGGGGGTGTGGCCTAGGCAAAGGAGGGGTGGAGTATGGGTGGGGCCACAGTCTGGAGAACTTGCCTCTTCAAGCAGCGGCTTCACCCACAGCCCATGGATGCGCCCCATTTAGTAATCCCATTTTCAAATCCTGAGATTGGGCTTCAAGGTGAGAATCTCCTTTCCTTTGAAGGAACAGCAGCCTGTTTGACACTAGGCTACGAAGTGTAGGAACTGGAACTGGGGTATTAAATACCATTGATCTGGAATCATGAAAAAGCAAGGTTGGTGCCAGAGAAATCTTGCATAATATGGTAGCTATGAGACAGGAACATCAAATTGGAGAATTAGTCCAAACAGGCACATCGGGCAGCACATAAATCACACCCTCTGGGCAGAGTTTATCATGCGAGAAATGGCTGACCAATCTGCCCTGGCATTATGGTGCTCGGAGAAGCAAATATCATTGTTTCAAAGGCAAGAGAACTGGATTGGGTCAGAACTAGGGGTGCGGCCATTTTAGCCCCTCTGCTGAGTACGTACCATAAAGATATGTTCCTCCCGTATGTACTAGTCCGGTAAAATTAATGTTCAGACCTTAAGCAGGATTGTCATGGTTCAAGGTCCCAACAATTCCAGGAAGTGGCCTTTATTTTGACATTTTCTGCCTTACCAAGAATTCAAGGTGGATCACCATTTGTTATGGACTTTGCTAATGTAGGTGAGAGAGTGATTGATTAATTAATTATGGTTACCATTTGATATAGGTGTAGTAGTTCAGGACAGCGATACAGTAAATTCAGGATTCATTGGTGTGACACCCTGACAGGTTTGCTCCATCAGTGATGCATGCATTTTCAATGCTTTGCACTAGTAGCTAGCATAATAGACTTCACGAGAGCCCCCAGAGACCACAGACACGGATAAGATACAAAGGCATCTGAGTCAGGTGTACTGTTGAACGAAGTACATTAATAGTCATTGGTAGCCAGATGGCTTCCGAGTCCCCATGCGTTTGTATCCACGATAATGAATGTGGCCATATTAATAGTATGGATTTCACTATTGCCCCCTAAGCCAGACAAAGAGATAAGTTGAGATACTCCAACATTTATAGACACATCTTCCCTATAATCTTATGCATTAATGACACGTTAGGTCCCTTTATACTTTCCTCCAAAACATTTACTACCTGTTGCTATACTTTCACTTTTGTGGTTTCAAACTGTTGTATCATATGCTCAACTGGGTGACCTTGTACTGTCTTGGTGGAATGTATTTACATATTTAATGTGCTTTAATCAGTGCTAGCAGTTTTAGTGCCAAGAGACACTGACTTGCTTGCAGGCAAATATCTGCTTTTAACATGGCCTGCCTCTTACTCATAGCATAGCTTTTCCTTACTTTGGTTCACCAGGCCCATGCTTCAGGCTCTTTCTTTCTCCTACAATAGGGTTTGCTGATGTAAGGAATAGCTGCTGAGAAATCTTGGGAATGATCAGAAAAGCTGAAACTCATATAGAGCAACTCCCTGAAAGCATAAGTTAAGCACTTGATTGATTGCAACACTTCTCTGCAAAACCCATGGACTCAAATGGGAGCCAAGGACTATCAGAGTAGGCAACTTTGGAATGATTTGTTTCATTTGTCCTGCCAGCTTCAGGGCATTGGAATCACGACCAACAGAACCTGCCCCCCCACCCTTCCTGTCCAACCTAAGTGCCCACTAGATTGGTCCAAGCCTCTGATTGGTGACTATCACATCATTGGCGGGACAGTGTGTGTGAGTGTGTGCATGTGTGTGTGTGCTCTTTGCATTCTCAATAACCATGGCGTAATGCCTTTTACCATGAAAAGATTCCATGAACTTCTTATAAGCCTAACACCAGCACCTCAGGCAGTCACCTGCATCACCTGCCCATGAATATGGCCGTGGCTTAAAAGAAACACCTCATTCCTTACCCTTCTTGGAACAGCCCACGTGGACATGATAAATCCAATTGATATGTTGTTGGGATACTGTACATTACAAGAGTTGGTGTCAGTTATGTTTTATTAGCAGTCACTGTACTTTGGGGTGTTTTGCTAACAATCAGATAAGACTAGTACATGTTAATATATACACATCCAATGAATTCATATTTCTTGCTGTGCTCTTCCTACCTGTCTGCAAAGAGATGATCACAACCCACAGCCACGGTCTCCTGCCTTTCCCAATGACCTCATCTTGAAGCCTTCCAGCAAGCTGAAAGTATTCCTCCCTGGCGTTATGCCAAGCTTGTCTCTTACTTCCAAGCCTCTCCCTCTCAGAGACACTTCATAGAACTGGGATCTTTTGTTTCCCATGGCTGTGTTCCTGAAGGTTTCTTATGTTCTTCCAAAGCAATGAACCTGCCCCAGTCCCTTCACAAGCTCCTTGTGGAGATCATGCCAATGCATATACAGACTCTATCTTTCTCCCTACAAGAGCAGCACCACCAGAGAAGAAATGTAAACTGGAACGTTGACTCTTTGGATTGCTAGTCTGTCTGTTCTGCTGTCCGAGCAAACAGCCAGGCAGAGCAGCTTGTGTAGCATGGATGGGACACATGTCCAGGAAAAACCCTGAGCACTGTTAGTAGGATTTGAGAATAGTGGAATTTTGGGAAAGGAAAGGTGTCTTGATTTTAATTTTGTCATTATTAATTGTAGATGTACAGGATCATTAAGTAATGCAATTTCTACGGAGAATGGGCTCCTAAAGGGGATAGTGCCAGGGAAGTGGGCCACTAGGACCCTCTTAAAAAGTGATTCGCTTTGGGACTCAATATGAGAACTCCTGTATAAAATTACTGCTCCTTTATGTCGTTTATGCTGACACAAAGTCATAGCTACAAATCTGAGTGAAACTGAAAAGTGCTTGCTCACCCGTGTAGTTTAGTCTGTTCCAGTTCTCCTACCGTTCCGGTCTCCCGGACACCTGGGGACCTTCCATTCAGCCATTCAACTAGCAGCTGTCACTTGTGCCTCCTCTTTCAACCCTCTTCCCCAAGTGGAACACTTGCACGTGTGGACTTTTGAACGTGACATGAGCACACAATGGTTTCTCTACTGCAAATAAGTGCTGCTTTGCATGAGGAAAGGCTGCAGACTCAGCCCCCTAGTTTTATGGATGAGCTGGGCAGTGAGCAAAAATACTAGGAGTCTTCATATGAGTGGAAAACAAAATGTCATTATGATGAAGTGTTACTTAAAAAAACCTGGCAATACCTAAACTGCTCGTTTTCATACTTAGCTACAGGTTATGCTTGACTTGTGCTGTCTGAAAGCATGGAGGCCTATCCACTATGTATTATGTGTATATATTTCACTATCATGTGGATTGCCAGCTTTAAAACTGATTTTTGTATAAGGAAGCTTTGACTGTACTCTCAGTTTAACAAATAATTAATGTGATTTTCCCCTGCTAGAGTCTTGCCTTGGCTGAGTTCTTCTAGGGTGAATCACTGAGAATCAATCACTATGAATCACAAGGAAACACCAGCAATTAACTGGTATCACTGTACTCTTTAAACAAAAAGAACCTCTGGGAAAATAATGCTTGGGGGATCCACATGATATGTTGTTGGGATACTGTACATTACAAGAGTTGGCTTTGTTATGCTTTATTAGCAGTCACTGTGCTTTGTGGTGTCTGGCTAACAATCAGATAAGACTAGTACATGTTAATATATACACCGCTAATGAAATCGTATTTCTAGCTTTGCTCTTCCTGCCTGTCTGGAAAGAGATGGTCAGATGCACACTGCCAGCAGGCACACTGCACTGGTGAATCCCTACTGCGCGCAAACCAGGGTTTACACCGCTGAATCCACACTGGGCAGAGAGTGTATGACCGGATCCGCATCCATCCCATCACCCACGCTGCCCTGGAGGCGGAGATCCCATCCGCTTTAGCAGCCGCGGATGCAGCAGGACAGTGCGCACACAGTTTAGCCGCGCAATCCACGTTGCGCACTGATCGCGGACCCCGAAGCGCAGCAGCTAAAGGCGCCCGCGTTGTCGGTATTTGCCCGTCTGACGTCAGAAAAGCGCCTGGGGACGTCACGCGTGCCTTGAGTTTCCCACGGGGCAGGAGGGATGGAGGGGGTTAGTGCGCGGGGGGGAGCCGGCAGCCAGCGCCCCACATCGGCTGCCCGGCCCTCTGCGTGGGGCAGAGAGGGGCAGAGGCAGCTGATGCAATGGGGGAGACGAAAGGTGAGAAGGAGAGGGCTGTGCCCTGTGGGGCTTTCCTGCATAGAGAGCAGCTGCCCCACTTTGCCCCAGTGAGGGGGAGGCAGCAGCCGTGGGCACAGCTGCAATCTGCCTGCGCACCTCACTGGCGTCCCTGGCTGCATTCAGCCGTCAGCTGCCTAAGATTTATTTTAAATGGCACCCATTGCTGTAGCGCCCTGGTCTCCAACCAGTTCGGAAGCAGTAGTCACTATAGTGGCTACTGCTATAGGGAACTAGCCACGCTATTCTGAAAATGCTGGCGTCAACTAGCCATGTTATTGAAGCTAACTAGCCACACTCAACTGGCCAAACTGCTGCATGTGGCTACTGGCTAGCATGTTGGGCATCATGGCCATAGCATCTAGGGGGCAATTAAAGTCCAGACCTGTCTATAGGAGTCTCAGTCCAAGTCAGTTGTCCCAGAATACTAAACCTTGGGATGACAGGCGCACATTTACCAGTTGGATTACTGAAAGGCCTCCCAGAACTAATGTGTTTTACAGTAAAAACTTGCCACATCCCAGAAAGGGGGAAATTTGGATCAGTTCTGGACATGCTATCTGGACACCTCAATCCAAGCAAGTCCATGTGGCAAAACCCCAGGAAAGCTTTAGTAAGCCCTGAAGTCTGAGGGTGTGTGTTTACACTTGTTTCACATCCTTCTCTGAAGGTTGTTGGAAACATATTTTGTTCTGGGTTTAAACAGGTTCAAGGAGTCTATGTATTTAGCTTGGTGTATGGTTACAGTGCTTGAAAAGCCACTGGCATGTTTAGAGTACCTGTGTGTGAGCCTATGGTGTTTCACTCCTCTGATGTCTCCTGAGTAGCTCAACAAATCCATTAATTTTGCATCATGCTCTAAAGTTATATCAAGTCAGAACAGAGATACCTAAACCTTATTTCATTAAGGACCATTTCATTATTATTATATAATGCTACATCATTTATGGAAAATATCGGGGGTCCTTTTACAGTAGTGGTTCCAGATTACCTAATTGTCCCAAGATTCTTGTGTGACTTTTTTTAGAACAACCATTGTACTATATAACTTCATTTTGCATAGTATCTTTCATTCAAACTGTATCCCAAATTACTTTGCTGAGTTCAAGACTACAGCAACAGCAGAAAGAGAGGGAAAACAAACTAAGCAGAGAGAAAATGTATGTTTCCACCAGTCGTTTGAAATGAGCCCAATAAGGGAGAGGCAGAGAGATACAAGCAGACGGTAGCAGCAAAGGAGCCTTCTTCACTGCCAGCACCCAATTGCATGGAGGGAAGGAGAGAAGGCCAAATTAAAACAAGAGATGGGAAAAGTGAAAGGAAGGAGGACAGACAAAAGCTGTGAGATTGGCATTACAGGGATAGGAGACAAAATTATAATTTAGAACTGGATTTTGCAATGCATGTGGAGTAACATTGTTTGATGATAAAATTAATTTGGTCATGTCTCCCCACCTCCCAAAATACTCTCTTAACAGAAACTAATGACTTTTAAGGTTTCTTTTTTATTGAATGGCCTTGTTTGCAAGAGTTTTCTCTGTTGTTAATATTGCTGGGCTAGCCAGGTGAGAAAGTTCTAGTGTAGTCTGACTCTGCTAGTCCTTTTCAGTGCTATGTCAACCTGGCCCTCTTAAAGAAAGCTGACATAGTGGCCTCACATTGCAGTGGTGGCCCTCTTTTGTAAACATTCTGTACTATAGCCATAGCTTATGTTTATAGTTAGCACTGGTTGCTCAGTTTAGGCTTGTAGAACTCAGCCAGAATCAGGGGCGTACTCACTGTGGCGTACATTTTTAATGGTGAGTGTAATCAATCATTGAATCTCCATCACTGACAATTTTTAAATCAAGATTGGATTTTTTCCCCTAAAATATATGCTATAGGAATTATTTGGGGGACATTCTATAGCCTATATTATACAGGAGGTCAAACTAAATGTCTCTTTGGACTTTGGGAATCTATAACTGAATTGTTTTCCAGCTTTAGCGTACATTGGAATCCCTGGGATGAATAAACTGGAAAGCAAAACCTACACTGTCCTTCTGTCTCTTCTGTTCTGCTTACAGGGAGCTGGAAACAATGCTTTTGCTGTGCTGGCCCTCCACAAACAAAATCTTCAATAAGGTAAGCCACATTTCTGTTTCCAAAACCTGTCTACACTTCAAAGTTTTGTTGGATTGTCTGTGGTGGCAGATAGTGTGGGGGGGAAAAAAACCTGATATCGCAGCGGTGACAGCAGAAACCCTCATGTATATGCAATTATAATACCAAAACACCCTTTTGCTGGTGTAGTTTATTTTGTTCAGGGAACTGGTATAAGCAGTAAGAACTCTTTTGCCACTGTAAACTGTATCTCTACTCTTGTGTTTTTCCAGTATAATTATGTAGGGAATCTTCTAGTGTAGGCAAGGTTGTAAGGCTGGCTTGAGATATGGGGATGGGAAGGGAGAGATGGGAACCTTCAATAGAGAAATGTTGACATCTCCAGAGCAGGTCTGCTTTCCATGGCTTTGTTCTGCCCTTTGATGGAGGGTTGAGTGGTGTTGCACAGGACAACAATACATTGGATACAAAGGTGCTGCAGGAGTTAACATTTAGCTTTGTCTCTACTGCAGGGTTTTTGTGCAAGAAGCCTTTTGCGAAAAAGTTCTTGCGCAAAAACTCATTTAGACCTCAAAGTGCATCGCTTTTTGCGCAAGAGAGCATCCACACTGCATGGATATTCTTGCGCAAGAAAGCTCTGATGGCCATTCACAGAGTGGCCATCAGAGCACCTGTGCTTTTTCCTATAAGGATTTCTTGCACAAAAACCCCTCTGGAGCATCCACACCTGCCTTTTTGCGCAAGAGCTGTAGCACAAAAAGAAGTTATTCCTCGTGGGGAGAGGAATAACTCTACTGGCAAAAGCCCTCTGTTCTGTCAATTTACTTGCGCAAGTACGCGCTTGAAATGTGGACAGTCTGCTGGTTTTTGCACAAAAATGGCCATTTTTGCACAAAAACCTTGTAATGTAGACATAGCCTTACAGTTTGAGATTGTCGGAAGGAAGTAAATGTCTGATTGTTTCTGAGCACACTTATGCATACCAGCATGTAGGGATCACTTCATCCTTCACTGAAATGCAGCCACTTCTGTGGTAGAACATGGTAGCTGTTTAATTGCTCACAGAAACACTAGGCAGCACTTTAAGAAAGGAAGGGTGCTGTGATTATGACCTATTGTTTTTTCCCTTTTCCTTATTGTGCTGCTGTAGTTGCTTACCTTTTGCATTTGTTACACTCCCTTGCAATCCTTAGACAAGAAAATGCACTCTTGGCAATTTATTTTTGTCCCCCAAAAAAGTTGGGAACTAAAATACAATAATTCGGAGTGTTCGTCTTTATAAAATGCACTTGTCCTTTGCTCCCGAGTCATTTATAATGCCATGCAAAAATTCAAACTGACTCTGCTCAACCATAATGATTCTTCCCAATCCATAAAATCCACAGTCTTTCCTCTCAGCCCTTCTCTCCCATCCACCCATCTTCCTGGAAGTAGCATGGGAAATGGTTGCTCCTTGCAACACACTGCGAAGGTCAGCACATTCCGGCCTCGCTGGTCCCAGACTCTTTAGCATCTGACCCAGTTCAAAGCAGATAAAGCTTGGAACCCACCTTCCTGAGACAGTGCTCACAGCCGCTAGAGGCTAATGCAGTACTAGGATACTAAGGTAGGTACGAGCGACCAGGAGTCCTGTAGCACCTTATAGACTAACCAAAGTGACCTGCCAGTGTCCCCCGGGGGACAGGGGCTCCAAGGAAGGCCAGAATGGGGTTAGAAGGGCTCAAGGGGAGCCCCAATCCATGAGGCTGTCATCCCTTAAGTCCTGTTCCCCTCCCAGCCGTGCACCCCCCTTGTGTCCTTACCTGCAGGGAAGGTCCTGCAGCATCCAGCTGTGTCCTCTCCCTGGCTCCAGCTTGCAGGTGCCCGCAGGGGCAAGAGGCCGTCTTGCTGCCCTGGGTGCTGGCACTCGGGTTGTCCCAGCGGGCTCAGCGCAGGGCAAGGCTGTGTGTGGGCTGAGCAGAGCGGAGTCCCGGGGGGCTCTCCTGGCCTCGCTGTGGCGAGCGCGCGTGAGCGCAGGGCCGGCCGCCGAGGTAAAACCATGAGGCAGGAGCTCTGCGCCCAGCCCAGGGCGGGCGGCGGGTTTGCAATCCCTGCCTGGCGCCCGGCGGGTCTCAGGCGTCCCTGCACGGCAGCCCCCCTCCGACCACACTGTGACGCCGAGGCGAGGGGCTGCAGCCCAGACGCTGCCCGCCGGGGGGAGAGGGGCGGAGCCTGGGCCCTGCTGTCCTGTGGGGGAGGTGGGAGGGAGGACCAAGCCCTGCTGCTCCCGGTGTGAGGGGGAGGGGTGGCCC